CTACTAGGAACAAGCTACTAGGAGCAAGGATTTCAACACGCTGGTCGACTCCAGGAGCTCTTGGCCCTTCAAAGACGACTGCAGGCGTTGAAGCCGAAGGTGGAGACGCCCCGAGGCGGGGAGGATGGGGCGGGCAGAGACGGGGGCGGCGGAGGATGGGAGCCGCCAGGTTTTAAGCGGATGGAGATTGTCGAGGCCAGTGAAGAGGACTGAAGAAGTGGACCGAAGCAGTGCATGGAATGAGATGAGTGCATGGAATGAAGGAAATCATTTCAAGAAGTGAAAGATCAGGGCTTTCAGGCTTTCACCACTGTGAGATATTCTGGGGTGGGGACATGATTAGAGCTGCTGTCAAATGGATGCAAGGCCTCTCTGCTGCTCAATCCTCAGGACCCTTTAGGAATCTGAGAAGATTTAACAAAGTGCTCCAGGCCTGCACTTCTGCGGCTTTTGCTGCGATCCGAGCATCCAAGAGTATCCAATTCGCGCTCTTGAGGAGGAGGAGGAGGAGGAGGAGGTCGTGGCTGAGGCCAAGCCGAACGAGGCTGCCATAGAGGCCAGGGAGAAAGATTGCTATCAAAGATAGCGCCTCAAGCACTTGGACTTGACTTGAACGCAGCAAAATGTGCTTGGAAAATGCGTTGTCATTTGTTCAAAGTGATTCTTGGAATTGCAAGGCAGAATACCGACTCAAAGGAACAGTGCAATTTGCCAGGCACCGGCCGAACCCTTTGCGGACATCGAGCTCGAGCCTGGAAGCCCTAGCGGACATTGAGCTCTGTGCAGCGGTTGTGCTCGCAAGACGGATCTGGAGAAGTCTGTCGGTGTCATGTCAAGCACAGTCTCTTGCCCGGCGATGTCTCAACTTGGGTGCTTATAGTGCTTGCTTCCGAAGTACTCAGCCCAAGAGTGGATTCAAAGTCCCTTTCAGGTCAGGTCAGGAATCTCATCTCCTGTGTTGCCTTTCTCACACACCACAAAGTCATGGGCTTCACTGCGCTGCGAGGCATACTGTTGCAGGAGCAGAGAAGGCGCAACACACATAATTCATCATACTTCACGGACACGAAGAAACCCTGCTCACTTGGGCTGAAGTTGAAGACAGAACGGGCGGACCTGAAAAACCCTACAGCCTGGTAATGCTTTTCATGCTGTTCGATGCCAGATACCTGCTTTAGGATGTTGATAGACACTGTCAAACCCTTCATGCCTGGGACGAATTTGGCGAAACAATATGAATGTGCTTTGATAGAAGTCAAGGGAGAAAGGGGCAGTCAGTGCCGGGAATGATTTCCTGAAGATATAGCAATGTAGCACCGTTCATTAGCTACAGGCCAAGGACATGGGCAACAAGCTCTTCCAAGAAGGCTGTGACAGGGAAGTTACACTGGTGAGTTCAAGTGCGAAGTCGCCATACTAACCATTGTGCAGATGTATATGTATGTATGGAGTTCTTTTTCCACGGCCTAAATGCAATTGGAGCGTTCTTCTATTTGGGCAATAGTCTTGCTCTACTGTAACAAACATAAAGAGATGCAAGAGAGAGAGAGAGAGAGAGTGTGTGTGTAACCCTTGGAGGGATCCTTTCGGATTGTTTTGCCTTGGTTTTTTGCTTTGGATTTTACAGCAGGGGGACACAGCATTTCACTGGGACTGTGTCCAACGAAGCTACCAGTGAAATGGGATATCCAGCTTGGCCAGCTGGACGTACATGCAATTTTCCGTTTCCGAATGGCATGAGGCTAAGCCTAGAACCTCCTGACATGACTTGCACGCTACGACGTCACCTTGTCGGCTCGTCGTTCGTTTTCCTCTTTTTGGCCCTACTTCCTCTTGAAGACCTCCAGGATCCAGTGGTTCGTACTTGTACCCTTAGGAATTGGAACCCTAGGCCGGCGTGTGGCACCGCTATCAAGTCAGTACGCATATCCATAAGTGTGTTTGGCCTCGTGCCAACCCGGGATGAGCCCGCAGAGTGCCTCCCGTGGACCCGTCGAGCGGGTGTTTGTCGAACGTATCCCCTGCCTGGATACAGAGCAGCCGCGAGCGTAGGTGGCTTATGCCTCAAGAATTGGGATGTTTGTCTCGTCTTTGGAATTCCAAGTTGGCTCATGCCTTTACGTGACCGCAGCGGTCAAAGCAGCCAGCCATTTCGGCAGGGCGCAAGGTGATGGAACCTGTGGAGAACTTAGCCCCCCTTCTCCTGGGGTGTTCCTGAATGTAATACTCAGGATCTCCCCGTTCTTTCTTTGGTGTGTCCCTGGACAATTGTTCGTAGCTGGGAACACCTTCCTTTCTCTCCCTCTCTCTTTCTTTCCTTCTCTTTTTCCTCTCTTCGCCCTCTTACGTGGGCGTCCCTGGATGCTTTCGTCATAGCTGGGAGCCCTTCCTTTTGGTGTGTCCTTGGACGCTTGTGCCGTAGCTGGGAACACCTTTGCTTCCTTCTCTCCCTCCTTCTCTCTTCCTCCTCCCCCCCCC